AAAAATGGGCGTTTGAGGCAGCATTCTTGGTAACAATTTTACCTAATAACAGTTACCTAGGGCGCTTTCGAAGTAATGGCTAAGCAATGTTACGGACATGACTCATGTGACAGCCGGTGTTGTAGTGAAAAACGTATCTCAACACTGAGAACCCCAATATTGGAACTTCACTATCAGCCTCCAGAATTCATTTTTCCTGAGCTCAACGAATCATTATTCTCAATTTACAGATATGAAGGTTTTATGGGGTGACATGAAATAAAAATAGTAAAATTGGTTAGAGATATAATTGCAGAGTGAAAGATAATTCAAAGGCTAAAGAAAGAAATCGATAGTATGAACAATTATTATTGGTACAATATGAGTGATATTCTATAGAGTACCTGCCTATAGGCCGTAAAACTGAAAAGATAATCATGGGATTTGATACTGAAAAATGGTAAAAATATTTGACTATTAATAAAATTATTGAAGGGAAAATATCCATAACGTAGCGAATGTGGTAGCCATTAATATTAAAATATCAAAAAATAATATTCTGTTTTATTTTAGGTGGGATATAATCATTCTTATAAAAGTAACTGACATCTGAATACCAAAATATGTTACACTATTAATAAATAAATTTAATTAAACTTACTAAAATCTTCCAGAGTTATATAATTATCAGTACCTATAAGTTATAATTACAATACAAATTATATACATGATTTATTAACTGTTGGAAATAAAAAAGTGTTTCTACATATTCAAAAGAAAATTCTATATTGAAATACTTGGGTTTACTTTTAAAATATAAGAGTGTACTTTTTTAAATTCTAAATAAAGTGAGAAATATATTGGTTTTACTAAGGCGATACCCTGGCAGCACTATTTAAAAATGTATGTTTTACTATGATTTATGTTATTTTATTATCTGTAAATAATTTTCCTACCAGATAACTTATCATTATTTTCTAAAGTAGAAAATATTGTCTAATTGGATGTATTAAGAGGTTTATTTATTTATTTCCATTGTAGTTTTCTAAATGATTTGGAAACATCGAGATAATACGTCAAAAAAACCTGGATACTTAAAACCATAGGTTCTTGGGGATCCGTAAATGGTTACTCGGGAGTCTACGGAATAGCTATGATTTATTTTAAATAATTAAAAATAAATTTGTTTGAAATTAATTCAAATTATTTAATAAATCAAGATCATCAGTTGAAGTAAATACTGTATAGTTCTAATGTAAGAAATATAAATAATTGGGAGGTAAACTAGTTTTTTACTACACAGAAGTACGTTGGCTTTTCAGAGAACAAGTTTTTAATAAAAAAATAAAACTCACTCTCAAAACATTTGTATAATAAATTCATTAATTTCATATTCAACCGATATTTTTAGTTATTTAAAAGTGAGTGAGAATTATAGACACGTGCGAAAAAATGAAATGCATATATAAATAAAATTACCTTGATAAAAATACATTTTAATGAGAAAATTGATCACACTTTAAAACACTTGAGCAAGAACTTTAAAAAAATAATAATAATATTGCTTTGTCCAATTCTATACAAATACAAATTTGTGAACATCTTGACATGCATACAAATTTATTTAGTGAAAAGCAGAAATATGATTACGTAATCCTTTTCCGGTGTAGGAAATCTGGCGCTCTCAACGCCCAGTGTACCTGAATAAGTGTACAGTATGTATATCTGTAATCAAGGATAAACTATTGCTAACGAAAAAACGATCTGAGCCGAGTACAGACTATAATGTTGCTTTGGCAATAATATAATAATTAGTGTTATGTCATATTATGGTAAAACGATTAAAACAATATGCGGTTCAAATAAAATGATAGTTTAAAAAAGATTAAAATAATAAAATCTTAATAATAATAAAAAATAAATAAAAAACGGTTACCAATGACAACCTTATTTTTCATCTTTCAATATATTTTAATCCAAAAACCGAGGTTTTCCTCATTATCTCGAACATTAATGAGAATTTAAAAAAAAATGACTTCCTTAAAGTATCACCTAGAGAAAATTTCATTTCAGGAAAGGTACTATACTTGATAATCAAAGTATGCTTTCTAGTAGAAGTGTTCTCATAAAAAAAAAATAATAAACATCAATGTAAAACCAGTACATTCCTCGTTCCACTCAGAATTTAAAATTTAATGTACAAAATAAACTTTATTTGAATACACTTAAAAATAAATAATAATAATATGGTAAAAAAAATGTAATAAATAATATAGGTTAAATTGACAGTGTGAATGCCTTTTAATAGCATATCTGAATATTTAATATTTTCGGTTTAAATATTATTGTGCGTTATATTTTCGTTTTTTAAGAACCTTTGGACAAAATACGTTTTAATTAAAACATTTTATGAATTAAATACTTTTCGTAAGATACGGCACCTCATTTATGTGAATTTAAATGCCACGTTCAACGTCATATGGGACAACTTGTATTAATAGTATAGTATTGGTAAAAATAATATAATTTAATGGTGTAAAAAAACTATAAAAATAAGACTAATTGTTTTTTAAATATTGAAACTGGTTTAGGTCGTTTAGGAATTAAACTACATGAAGTTTATATGAAAAAAAAAAAAAACATATGGTTAATATATAATATTTGTCAAATGTATGAATTATACTTTCCTAATTTTATTACTTAAACATGTGAAGTAAAATAAAAATATAAAATTGAAGTAGCTGTTTACACATTTGGTGGGAATTGTCAATCAGATAAAACAAAACATATTTTAAGGTATTTTTACTTTTAGACATTGTGACTAAGGACATAAGAAACGCCAATAGCCTTTTTAATTGTTAAAATATTCTCAGAAATAAAATCAGATTGACAATATTTGGAAAAGGTTATGAGATTAAAACCTTGAATTACTTACAAAATACACTTATTTTACTAATAAATTTGAAATATGTATAAGAGTCATCTTGGTTTTTATTTTCTGGTAGTCCTAAAGCAAAATTTGATTAATTTTAAACCTATATAAATATGTTCCTTATAAATTAGTAATATAATATCTATTATTTAGCAATGTAATAATATTATTTTTAATTCATTTTCACTAAATGACTATTGATATATTTTTTCAAGGTGAAAAATTATATTAATAGAGAAAATAAAATACATAATTTGCAAATCAAATTCTTGATATAAAAAAAGGCAAAATACCAAATTTCTTGACGCAAGAAGGTTTGATTAAAAAATTAAATATTTATAATTTAGGGTGGCCCTTATTTTTGGACTTTCAATGTTTTTATTTCGCACCCTTCTAAATTTTTTGTTATTTTTAGATCTAAATATTTTCTATAAACAAACATTTTACAATATTTCTCCTAAATCAATTATTCTTCAAGGAAAATTATGGGGTATTAAGTTTTTTGCTGTTTTTTAAATATATCTGCTAAATCTTAAATTATACCAGATTATGTAATATATTTTTAAACATTTATAAAAATAATTACAAATAAACAAAAGTAAGTACTAAATTAATTTAGAAGAAAGAAAGAAAGTTTTTTATAAAAAATATTTGGATCTTTAATTAATACTTTTTTTTTTAACTTTTATTTATAAAAACAAACAGTCTGTAATTACATATTACAATAAGTCAGTAAGCGTATATAATTCGATGACTTGGACACACATGAAATAAAATCAGCCACCCAATAGCGACACTTTAAAACTTGATCAGATAAGAAAATTTATTTAGATTGATTGATTTGATTTAGAATTTAGTTATTTTTCATTCAAATCTCTACAGCATTTCCTCTTAAGTCTGCAAGGTAGGTTGCCTGGGATGGTGTTGGAATCGAGAGCGGATATTCAAGGATTTGAGTGATTTGCCAGATGAGAGCGGAATCATTTGTAGCGGATTTTGCAGTTTCTTCAACTGTATTTATTTTTATGTCTGTGTGTGAGGTATGGTTTGACACATAAGTTGGGGCATTTATGATAACACAGAGAGTTATAGATTGGAAGGTTTGAATTCTGTTTGTATTTGATTTTTTGGCTGCTCCCGAAAGTTGGATGCAGTAAGTCCAAATTTTCATCAAGAGAATTTTATAAAGTAGGATTTTTGTTTTTAAGCTGAGATTTGAATGTTTACCAAGTAGGTAATAGAGAGATTTCTGCCTCGAGTTTAAAAGAATTATTTTGTCTTTTATGTGGTGTGCCCATATTAGACGTTAGTCTAGGATTAGACTTAAGTAGTGAGAGTTAGAGGATTTCGGTACATTTTTATTATTTAATGAGACATAAGGGACCATTCCTTGTTTTAATGTAAACGTCAAGTGATAAGATTTTTCGTGGTTGATTTTAATTTTACATTTAGTGTACCATGACGACATGAAGTCAAAGTGATTGATTTTGTAGATTGTAGGCAGCAGTCATTAAAGTATTTGTTTTGTGAGTAAATTATTTTATCGTCTGCGAAATCCGCTACGGAAGTGTGTAAATATGTTAGTTGGTTAGCTGAGTATAGATTATATAGAATATGTGAGGATATGGCGCCTTGTAGGACACGTGCCTACTTTTGATATAAAATAGCGGTTTTCAAGGAATGATTTGTAAAATAAATAATATGGCTAAGGTAAGATTTTTTTAATCTTATACAATAGAACAGGGTACCAAACTCTGTCGAACGCGTGAGACTCGTAAAGAAGGATTGCTGAGCAGTATTATTTTTTTTTCAAAGGAGCTAGCTATAGTATCAGTTAACCGATGTATTTGGTGTATAGTTGAGTAGCTTTTACGGAAGCCAAACTGGGTTTGCGGCATAATAGATACGTTGTTAATGTAGGGAGAGATCCGCATTAAAATTAATTGTTCACAAAGTTTAGAGAAGAGAGGCAGAAGACTTATTAGTCGAAGATGGGGTTTCGAACTTCACAATTAGTAATATCATGACAAAAATTATTATTATTATTTTTATGATTACTAGTTTTGTTTGAGGCTGGCTTTCGAAGTTGTTATAGCTTTTTATATGTTTGGCAGCCTTTGTAATTTGTCGGATGGTCTCCAATGCAAAGAGCACACTTGGTCGGCGAATCGCTGGTTTTACTGTAGTGGGTGGATGGGTGATCCTCTCCGCAACGGACACATCTTGGGGAGTAAGAACAATATCTCTTCGAATGGCCGTAATCCTGACAGTTCAGACATTGTATAATGTCTCTATGTTTATGTGGCTCCTCGATTTTCACTTTAGTGTGGAGTAGCGAAGTTACATTGAATATATCTGAGTTTATAGCCGCCGGCTCGAGATCGACAAAACATATTAGAAGGTTATTTTTCGTAGTTTTTTGAAGAACGTTTCTAACTTGGCGTACCGAAAATCCAATTTCTTCTATGGTGATACCGACCTCTACTATCGGAGTAGACGGATGTATATTACAAACTATTACTCGGAACGCTTTCTTCCTGCGGTTGATACGTATGATATTGCGCATTACTTTCTTTTAAGAAGTGGGTTGTTTCACGATAATGCATTGTTTTGACTGTTTTTTTTAAGTTACTTGGAAGTAGGTGGACATAATCAGCTTCATATTAACAGTAATATGCTATCTAAAGATAAGGCCGTCAGTGCGCGGCCGTCGGCTTTGTCGTGGCATCCCGATGGACTTGTTGTATACTTAATTTGGATGACTAATTAAAATGTTTAGCTAATTTGAATTTGATGAGAAATTCGAGTTAGATTAACCTAGACGAGTGCTTAAGTGTGTGTATTTTTTATCCTTGTTATAACTATGAATTATTATTATTTATTATAAAAATAAAAAGAGTTATATTTATAAAGACGCACTAGATATATAAAACATGGGAAGAGATTTATAATGCGTGCGTGTCATAATTAATATAAATACATTTATATGTTAAAAGCAATATTTTTTAACTTAAGCACAAAAAACTACCCTATTTGGCAATTTCCAGCCCTTTTGGCGCGTAAAGAGGGTAAGTTACTATCACTTAATTTAACACAAATTAGTTTTTTGTGATAATAAAAATTACGAAAGGGTGATAAATAAAAAAAAAATTAACTTTTTTCCTCCTCTATAACTAACGGCCATTATAAATTATATGTAAAGACTTTATGTTAGATTTTTGGGAATTAATGGAAATATATATTTTTTTTTAAATTTTCTATTAATTTTAAGATTTGGGTTGTATTTATAAGATCTATTGGTTTTTTGGTTATTTTGATTATTTAGGTTAGGTAACACGTATAGCATGATAATTTTTGCATAGCATCATTGATAAAATTTAATTTGAGTATTAAATATAATAAATACAATATTTAATATTAGACAATATTAAACAGGTACTTACGTCCGAGAGCAACGTCTACAAAAAAAAAAAAGTTTAACATATTCATAAACTAATCAACTAGTTCACACATTATTTAAAATATGTTTTGTGCGATATCTTTTTACACATACACATACCGTCTACCTGTATTACCTAACTACATTTCCAGTGAATTATATTTTATACTTACTGATTTTAACCTAACTGATTGGTACCCTGAACAAATGACGTGGTTATAAAACTAACTGACTGCTGGTTTCAAATAGAAGTGAAGTTAACGTCTAAAATGTTATTAAAGAACATATTTTCAATTAACTCTTCTAAATTACCCGATTTATCCACCACGATTTTTATTAATGGTTATTATGATTACCTCCCCACTATAAAGTAAAATTTCAATGACTTGCTAACTCAAAAGAATCGATCGACACCAATTTCAATTCTCCTGATTAAATTGCGCGACCTACGTGAAGTTGACTGACCTTTAATATTTTATTACCGATACGAAAACAATGAATTATAAATTTCAAAACCAAACTGGCAAATTCTTACTAATTACTTGCTAAATATGGCAGATAATAGTTACGTCGATTTCTGATAAGGTGGGTGGCACCCTTCACAGTCAACCGTCAACATAGTCAGATCTTTTATTTTTTATATATATTTTAGATTCTGAGTGGAATAAAAAAGTTTATGGTTTTACAAAGATGTTTAGTTATTTTTATCTGTAAGCAATTTTTCTGCCAAAAATCTTGCTCCGATTTAAAATAGAAGCACCTCTTTTGAAATGAAATGGATCTGAAAAAGTACTTTAAGTTGGTCATTTTTAGATTTTCTCAGTAGTTTTCTAATCAAATGTGAAGAACCGAAAAAATGGGAAAACCATAGAAAAATCGGTACATTAAACGAATATTTTTAAAGAAGTCATTTTTTGATTTTCAAAGCCATTTTTTAAATAAAAGCACTTAAATAGGAAAAACATACAATTTCACGATTTTATTATTTTATAAAAACACGGACGACGTTTTCTACCAGAAAAAATTATTGAATCAAAAAATCACAAAATACCTTTTTTGTTGTCTTTTTGATTTACTTTCTTAGGCCAAAACTTTTGAGCCATTTTTAAGCTTTTAAGGAATTTAAATTTTTAGGAGTTTTTTGCTGTAATTCGGTTATAAATACACGTAGAGACTTGAAACTTGGTAATAATACTTATATTTAACCTATCTAACGTGGTAAAATTTCCAAAATGATCGGACGACTTTTTTTTTAATAAACGAAATCAAATTTAAATAAAAATCGCAAGAAACATTACGGTACTTCAAATTATGTGGTACTAAACTGCACTCTGAATCGTCTTTTGTCAAACAATGGTTTGTCGTCACTTACAGATATAAATAAAAAAAACCTTATGTGTCCTACCTTTTCAACTTTTCACCTACAACAGTGGCCACTTCCATCCCCAGTATCAGCTTTTTTTTTTTATTGTAATAAATATTTATAAATGATTACTATGTTTATAAATGATTAAATAAAAAGTTCTTTCTACTGAACATGAAGTTGCTGGTAATGAAATAGCAATTTCTAAAGCTTTATTTACAGCAGAAGAGTATTTACTTAGTTCTAGTAAATCAATTCTTTGTGTACTAGGATCAAATGGTTTTCTTAGCCAAAATGCATACCAAATTAGTGCTTCTTCTTCAAATTGTCAAGAAGGAATTTATATAAACAATTGATAGATTTAACTACTTCACTGAACTCTTAAATATTAATTTTTGTCATTGTTTTTTTTTTTTTTTTTAAATAATAAATAATGCGCGTCTAAGGTTATCTTATTTTCCTATGCTTTGGAAATTTTCTGTAACGATTCTAGTTCTAAAACCTAACAAGCCTCCCGACTTGTCCTCCTCCTACCGACCTATAAGTCTCCTCCCCTTTTTCAGCAAAATTCTCGAAAGATTAATTCTTAAAAGAATTCGTCCATGCATCTCTTCCAATTCCATATTACCTAATACACAATTTGGTTTTCGTACCGCTCATTCCTCAATACATCAGCTGCACAGACTAGTCGATGCTATTTCCTTCTCCCTTGAAAAAAAAGTTATTGCNAAACCCATAGTTTATCCTTCCTTTTACTTACTAATCAAATCTTACCTCGCGAATCGATATTTTCAGGTCAGAGTTGGCACATCCCTTTCTGGTTTAGCAAAGATTAGCGCAGGCGTTCCTCAGGGGGCATTCTTTCTCCTCTATTATATCTCGTATAACATCTACGCTGTCGATCAACTCACCTCTCCGAATACAGCTGTTGCAGAGTTTGCCGATGACAAGGCCATTATTTCTATCCATAATAATCCTCACACAGCTTCCCACAATCTTCAACTCCACTTTGACCTCATGGCTGATTGGTATAAAAAATGGCGTATCAAATTTAATCAATCCAAATCACTCCATACAACATTTACTCTTCGTCGTACTTCCTGTCCTATGGTGTCTCTAGACAATATTCAAATCCCTTCCTCTCAAACGGCCAAATACTTAGGCAAATACTACAATTGATCGTCGTCTCACTTGGTCACATCACATAAAAACTAAAAGGCTTGTCTTAAATGCACGACTCCGCATCCTTAAAACCCTAATCTCTAACAACAAACACACTCCATTAAATACTAAACTCTTAATTTACAAATCCCTGTTCAAGCCGATGTGGACCTATGGTCTTCAACTCTGGGGCAATGCCAAAATATCCAACCCTAATAAAATTCAAACTTTCCAAAATAAATTCCTTCGCTTAATTACAAATTCTCCCCCTTANCACTATTCCTGGGAATCCTCCCAGAAGACTCAAAAGGAAATGGTGTCGAGACCTCCTCACTGTTTGATAAAATTAAGCAATATAAATAAAGAAAAAAAACCATCAAGTTAGGGTAGTGTTACCACTGGGTGACTCCTCTCTTCATTTCATCATGTTTTTTTATTACTCATTTATCACATATTCTTATTGTTCCTAGGAACAGATTGTATATTCTTCTAAAATAAATAAAAAAAAAAATAATAATAAATATGCTTTTAAATTTTCATCAGAAAATCTATCGGCAATTTGTTGTTATCTATATTAGTATTGATAATAATATTATTTGTATCAATAACCTCAAAATGTAAATTGTAAGTTTTGTGCTTTTGTTAAAATATAAAAACTACTTTTTGCAGAATTACGTATGGTTGTCATGAGTCTTTGTGATTTTTCTCTGATGTTAACTTATGTGTATTATAGTTATCCTACAATATAATTGATATTATTATCAAATTTAAATATAGAATAAATAAAGATTGTCTAAAAAAGTCATTGATATTATTAGTTCGATAATTCTTTGATTGAATTTGACGATTAGCTCTTCGTAGAAGTTGTAACTCTAGTCCAATTTTGTTTGCAGTTTCTTTTACTTTTTTGAATATTATTTAAATTGACATCCACTATTACTTATAGCACTTTTTACAAGTTTTAAAAGTTCTTTAACCTGTTGTGTGGCTTCTTGTAAATCAATATAAAATTATAATGGTTACTTGGCATTCAAGGTTTCTTCAATAATGTATACTTTAAATAATCAGAAATATTGGCATGATTACCTTGTATAACGTCCAATATCATACTAATCGCTATCATTCTAAACTATAAAATCATCTGTTGGAACTTCATTATCACCAATCAAGCCATTTTGTTTATTATTTTCTGAGAAAATTGAATAAAGAAAATCAAGATCATCAACTATTGATGATCCATTTCACGGTTTTATAATAATATATTAACAAACACCCATACTTAGAATTAGCACACACACATATTTTAAAATTCCTAATTACTATAATTTACCTGGTCCTGTTCTTTATCATCATTTTTATGAAAGTATGAATCTAGTGTACGTAACATTTTCTTTTTAGATGGTATATTAGAAAAATAATTCGTAAATTCATGTAACGTGTATCGTATACTATGTTGAAACGAATTGTAGAAACCAAGTCTTACTGTCGACTATACTTTTGTACTTTAACCGGATTGTTATCATTATCGCATGTTATTAATAGTTATTTTGGTTATTTTGCGCGCAGCACAGCAAACCGGTACGCCGTCGGTGACGACCGATCTGCGGTGAAACGGTTCACCCCCGTGACCTTGTTTGTCTGATCATACGTTGGTATGAACATAAGCGCTTCGCACGGTGACGTGCCTGCGGTCTGGTGGTTTTTAAAAGAAGATGACGCGTGCCGTGCACAGTTAGGTTGAGAGGTGAAGCCACTCGGACTCACCGCCCGCGTCATCAGTACGTGAAAAACGTATAGAATGACCATTTTTTTTTGTTCATTGAAAAATTCTCAGTGGGTGCAACGGCACCCACTCCCCCCCCCCCACGGGCGAACCCAGAGCGAAGTTCGGTTTAACATGTTGTAAAAGGCTGTAATATTTACAATTGTCATCAAAATTAGATTTTTGAATGTATTATATAAAAAAGAAACATACTACATTTAATTAAATATTTTTTTAAACTGCTAACATTGCAAATTGAAACAAAATTGCTGGTAGAAAAGTTGTTTAAAGGAAAAGAGAAGGCTGTAATATTGTTTAACTCATACCTAAATTTCTTATATTTTCCCGTTTTTCCCCCGTTTTTTTTTTAGTTTTTCACGCTAGAAAAACTCTTGGAAAAATCGAAAAATCCCAACCTCCCTAATGTACCTATCCTATTAGATTTCCTTTTAGAAAAGGTGCTTCACTTAAAAATTGGAACAAGATTTCTGTTAGAAAATTTGCGCACAGGTAAAAACTAAATAAACATTTTTGTAAAACCATAAGTTTTTTGCTTCACTCAGAATCTAAAATTGTTATATGCTCAATTGGGTCGTCTAAAAACTGCCGTACTCAACCGGGCATTACCGAGATAGTTCCATGATGTAAAATAATTAATTATTATTAAATTAATAAATAATTTTCTTAACCTGCATAAGTACAAATATATTTAATTTGGTTATAATTACTATATTTAAGCCAAACATAATAATTATGAGTTTTGGGTTATGAATTTATAATTATTCGGGAAACTTAATGATTAATTATTACGTAACTACTTACTAAATTTGCATTTGTAAAAATCATCTTCATTCAGTTTTTTATAACCTAACAATTTGTATAACGATATATTATTAGTTATTATAGTGGTCAAAAAATAATATTTGTAAAAAAATACGAATAACAAGACCCACATTGACTAATACATTTTACAGACACAATGATTTACATTCTTAGTGAATTTTATATAAAACTGTTAAAATATATAAATTACTTATTCTTAATATAACTATTTACTTATCGGAGACAGTGTATCATATATTAATAATTAGTATCAACAAATATCGTATACTTACTACTGACTAGATTAAGTACTTTTACAAAATTAACAAAAGAAAACGAAAGAAAATAGAGGAATTATAGCACAATGCTATAGAAATTATTACAAAAAATAATTTAAAAATATTAAACAAAACCTATGTTATTTAAGGAGTCAGATCTTCGTGTTACACTCCATATATTAAAATTCAAATTTTATAGGCAATATTAAAATCTTACCATCATGCATTTTTCTAGCCATGTAAGTTCCATACGTTTCATCTTTACGTATTGTTTCTGGAAAATAAAGTTTGATAGAAGTTATTATTTATTTTACTATAAACCTATTGTATTTTCATGCGAAAGGGTAATACAAAAAAATAAATGGTCATTGATCACGAACAGCTAAAAACTTGGAGCGCCTTAAATTCTTTAAATAATAAATATTTGAAATACATTTTTGGAATCGATAAAATTCGAACCGATACTGATTGAAACCGACATAAGTTATAATTGACAAACTAGGAATATACATACTTGAAATCATCTTATCCTATGTTATAACCAATATAGTGACGATCACGCTCCATCGTTTGTATCATTAAACCATAGACCTTATACTAAATAGATTGGCCTTGCCTATAGACTAACTGAGATAGTAACATACTACAGTAAATACTACAGATATACTACAGTATGTACAGTATAATCATATCAATGTTGTTATTGTGGGTGTAATACAATGTACAATAATACCACATAAAATTCACAAGTCACACATTAAGAGCGCTCTCAATGGATGACCGTTCTACGTTTACAAAAGGCCAGTCTATTAGTATAAAGCCTATGCTTACAAGTTGCAATGCTATCTTTCAAGCACTGTATAGTGTATACGTTTACATTCGATGTATCATCCTCTTAATTATATCAACTAATCTCGGTTCTAAATGTGTCGTCTTCTTCTTCTCCTTCACCTTCATCACAACTATTTGGGGTCAGCCAACCTCGTTCTAAACTACCATTCAACCCGATCTCCCACCTCACATACACCAACTGTCGTCATATTGATATGTTGATTTCAAATATGTATATTCGAAATTTATCGATTCCAACTATATTGGTACCAACTCTATCGATTCCAATTAACATTAGTTCCAAATAATATTAGTTCCACATTTGTCGATTTCAACTTATTCAACTTATATCGGTTCCAATTATTAATGATGGTTAAAATTATTAGAGTTTCAAAGATTCTCAGATCAAAAAAAACATAAGGACATACTTTATGAGATGAGTGAACCACTGTTGTGGGTGAAAAGTTGAGAAGGTAGGATATAGAAGGGAAATTAAAAATATATCTGTAAACAAACAAAAAGAAATTCTGAAAAGCTCGGTTAATATAGTAATGTTTTTCCAACAATAAATAATAGGTGATCCATTTAAGTGTGTACACTCATTATCTCAGAAAGTATTAATTTTTGGATCACCTGGAATGTCATATTACGATGGCTTGAGTCTCTAGGTGCAATCAAAATACATTCATTTTTTTCCTTTAACCCGACGTAATATTAAATTTACAAAAAAAAATTAATAATTAAGGAAATTGTATTGAATATTTATTAAAAAAATGTCTACTTTCTGATTTTTAAAAACACCCCCCCCACCCCCAAAAAAAAAAAACTTTTTCCTGCGTGCGTCCCTATTACTGTTTGATGGCAAAATTATAGTTGGCGATGGTTTTGTGATATTTTCGCATTTGTTACAAGAAATATATTCTGTAGAACTTGGTTCGTCTTTCAAATAACTTTGAATAATTTTTATCATATTACATTCATTATTTATAGTTTGTACTTTTGTGTAAATCTCTAATTTGTTAAAATACATTAGTATCAATTTTACCCTTTTTTCTATAAATAATCTTATTTGGTCCTTGCATAGTTAAGTATTTTGAAAATTGCATGAATAAATTTTCCCTATTATTGGTATACTGTTTATATTAATTATTATCATAACATACACAGCTATTACGACTGTAATGGTGTCAAATTCACATGTATTTGTTACCCTATAAACATCCTTTTAGATTTTACACTGATTTGAGATGATTCCTTTGAGCAATAATGTTTTTTTAAGAGATCTCATTCTTGAACTATTTAAAATTCGGTCGATGACTTGGCAT